CTCCATTTATGGCACTAACGAGTGACAAAGTGAATTTACTACATTATACTCAAGAGTCATTAGTACTGAAATGGTGGTTGTAAGACAAGTCATAAAACATATAGGCTAACAGTTGGTTTCCATGATACCGTCGCATCACAACCATGATAACCCTTCGGACCTTTCACTGTAGCATCTCTAAGATCACTGAATCCTGCGCCCTCCAAAGCAGAAGAAATGATGTTCTTCGATCAACTCGGCCGAACCTCACTTCCTATCAATTTCCCTCACTACACATCATGCTCTGATCCGGACTGAACCAGATACAACCAATAGGGCATACGTGATCATGTACCCTATAGCAACGACATCCCGTCTTTCCAGCTCCTCAAAGCTAGGAAACCACTCTCTCTTAGGCAAGTGATATGTGCTCCCGATCCAATCCCGACACAACCCTCCGTGGATCGCATAGCAAACGACGGTAATAGCAGGCATGAATAGCCTGCAGAATCTGAATCTTGAATGCCACCGAATAGTTTTGAATCATTACTTTCTGAAGCTTGTGCAGCTTTTCCTATTCTTTCCGGGCTTTTTCTTTCCACTTTGGACAGTCAATCTTCCAATGTCCTTCTTCTTACAATCCGACATTGATTTCTATCAACACTCTTATAGCACTCTATTCTTTACTTGGCGTTGAATCTGACCACCCGGTTGGATCTCGGCTCGAACTGCTTAACGCATCTCCCGATCCTTCTCGAGGGTTCACGATCACTCTTCTAACTCATAGTTCACCACACTAAGGTCACCTCTGTAGTAGCTACTGTATGTTTTGCCATTGATCATGAGTGGAGAAGGACGTACCATAATCATCTTCGGGCAACGAACAGAAGTTATGCATAGCTTGTCTTCATCCTCATATAGATATCAACATTGGCCAATCTGAAAGTAGCTAGTGAAATTGGTTGACATATGCTCCCTGATGATAACCCCTCGTCTTCATTCTTGAACTGTAAATCTCTTCTTCAAGTGAAGCGATCTCACATAATCTTCGAAGATATTTCTCCATTGAGTGTTCCCACATCTTCTTCGCTACGCTCGTCATGAAATCATAAATAGAGATCCGCGTCAAGCATGACTAATAACACCACTAAGCTCTACTGTTAATATTTCTCCAAACCTTATCCTCCGAACTCAGCGCGCTTTTCTTTTAATCAAGCAGTCTCCTCAGATCTGTTGCGATCCAGAAGCGTCCATCACCTGACAATCTCACAATCCATAAATGATCTTGCCATCGGAACTTCGAGACATCAAGTCTTTCGTTTATGATGGCTCAGACTTGTATCGCTTTGATTAAGACGAACCTGACGTGCTTGATTTCCCATGTTAGTCTAGCTCTGCATACCAATTGGTGTGCGCGGCGGAAGCTTTCTTAGGAACTAACAATTAACTCGAAGCTAAACCACAAACAGATATGCCCCCACAATCACAGCAGGAACAAAGAATTTACGTGGTTCGGCAAGTGCTACGTCACGGCAAGGAGGGGGGAGATTTTTACTAGCTAGAAATACGGAATATAAATAGGGTTACAAATCTCTACAACAACCTAAACAAAGCACTTGAGATCTCTCAAAGCTCTCCCACAATTGGATGCAACAAATCTCTCTTAGAGGCTGCTCAAAATCGTCCTTCTAATTACCTAACAAATCAGGTTCAGGGTATATATAGATTACAAAACGAAACGGGTCAAAAAACCTGAAGCCCAGCCTAAATCACCGTCGGTCGCCCGGCACGGTCGACCGCGATCAATTCCGGTCGACCAGCCCGGTCGACCGACCACCTTCCAGCAGAAACCCAAAAATCCAGAGAGCTCCTCGGTCGACCGCACCGGTCGACCGAAACACCTGCGGTCGACTGGCCCGGTCGACCGACCTCCTTTCTGTCGCACAGTAAGCTTTGTGCACGAATGCGGTCGACCGGACCGGTCGACCGCCGCCTGGTTTTTCTGAGTTTCTGTAATTTCTTCATAGTTAACTAAAAGAAACTAAACCAGAGTAAATTAAAGCATCAAAATCCAAATCTGACTTCTTCCTCCATTACGAGCTTTGTAGCTAACCGATATTCTGCATAATGGAAGCTACGCACATATTTGTGGTGAGAAGAAGTACGTCGGCTTTAGGTGCTTCTGTGATTACCCATGAATGAGACTGACGCACCATCTCCCTCCATCTTATACCAATCATATAAACCGTCAAAAGTTGGGACAAAATATTTGCAGCACAAAAGAATCATATATTTCAATTGATGACCCATGGATAATATCTGATATCAAAGATCTCACCCATGTGGTAACAGGTAACAATTATTGCTTCTGTACTATTAGCAAATTACAATAACTGTGACTAAACTGCCTATATGTTGTTGTTCGTGAAATTTTAGTTTTTAAACATTTTCGATATAAGATGCTGCTTTCATACAGGAAAAAAAAGAAAAAAAGAAAAAAACAAATGCAACAACAATGTAATATCCAGAGTTCCAAACATCCTCATTCAGACACTTCTGTACTATTAGGCATATCATGTTTTTGTACTCAAATGAAATGCGAATGTAAGCACACACATTCGTGCACAGATATATGTACACAAGAAAAGTAGGTCATCAAATAGACTTGCATTTCTCCGACTTCATAATCATCTAAGCAAGCTCTTTTGTGCACTACTTGGTGCAATGGGAACATAGAAAGTATATGCATACAGTCAAGTATCAACATACACAAGACACATACACATACACATGCACAAGACACATACACACATGAGAAGACTTATAGCAATAATTTCCTTGTCATTTTCAATCATGCACAAGACACATACACACATACAGTCAAGTATATATAGAGTTATATGAAGAAACTTTTGTGTGTTAAGCGCATAAAATATTTAAGCGCACAAGACACATACACACATACACACATACAATTAACTAATTTACCTCATAAAATCAAGAGTCCTCACCATCGTCAAGTTCCCTCCTCTGCACGCCACTACTGCTTCCTCCAGCAAGTCCAGCCTGAAAATAAATAGAGCCACTACTGCTTCCTCCAGCAAGTCCAGCCTGAAAATAAATAGATTTACATTTAGAGAATGAAATTTAACAATATAAGACATATAGCCTGAAAATAAATAGATTTACATTTAGAGAATGAAATTTAACAATATAAGACATATATATTAATTTACATGTGCGCCAGCGTCTAAATCTAATTGGTCCAAAACTTCTTCAAATAATTCAGCTGAAATCTTCCTGGACAAGCATAAAACGATGTGTGTAAAAATATCGTCACTAGTAGGGGATGGAGGCAAATCTAAACACATAGCCGTCGTCATCTGCATGAGTAATGTACGGTCGATCTTACCACGCAGATAACAGTTGACGCGCATAATTGTAGAAGTGGTGTGAGTTCTGTTTGATGATGTTGCCGCAGACGAGGTTGTTGAGGACGCTGTGGAGGATTTTCTGGAGGTACCCCGCTGAGCTCCAACCCCCATCAATGGAAATCTGCCCCGGTTATTATACCCCATCACATTCATTGCAATGACATTATTTTCCTCTCTAGACAAGACATGAGGGTCATCAGCAGCTTCTTGGGTAGCACATAGTGTTGCATCCTTCGACGCGGTAGCAATATTATCCTAAATCACATAAGAAAAATAGATATATATTGAATTGGCAAATAATGAATGTGGCCCTGTAAAAAACCGTGGGTGGAAATGCGAATTTTTTTTAAGAAGCCTGATTTCAAAGTACAACAATTTAAACTCTTAATTAATGAAATGTACAACAACGTAATAGTTATTATTTAATGATTTATTGAAAAATAATTAATTAATGAAATGTACAACAACGTAATAGTTATTATTTAATGATTTATTGAAAAATAATTACCACCAACACCATGTTTTCTTTAATCACAACGTAATAGTTATTATTTAATGATTTATTGAAAAATAATTACCACCAACACCATGTTTTCTTTAATATTGTCTTCATTTTTATATGTTGAGTGAAAGGTGTCGTAAGCTAACTTTGCCTTCAAATTGATCGGCATTATGGGTTTCCCCTACAAAATATAATAGTAAATGTCAAAAAGTTTGGTCATATAAAAAGATTGTAGCATGTGAATACATCAACTTTAAATATTATACCGTGTCTTGACAATAACTATACTCAAGATTGGCAAAGTACGTCGATCCCAAGTGGTGGTCAAGCTTGTGCTTGCTATGTCGGTTCGTCGAGCCCTTCTTAGATTTATTCTACAAAAAAAAGGTGTTAAAAATGAATTGCATTTACAATATGCTTTTGTACGCAACATGATAATGTACTCATACCTGTGCGGACTCGGTATCCCAATAAAAAAGAAGAGCCGTGAAATGATCGAGATCCACCCTCTCATCGAGATTTAAAAATCTCTGCTAATCTTGGGTATATTTATCATATGTTGATATCTTCAGCTCATGTCGCCACTGTTTGAGCACAGCCTCAACTTTGATATTGAAAACATAGTGCCACGCCCCAGGGTAGTCCTCAAGACAATAGTATTCCTATAATTTTGTATCTAGATATATAAGATATCTAAGCAGCGAAGCAATGCAAAATCATTTCTACAAAACTTTTAACAAAAACAACGCACAGAAAAAATTCAATATCTAGAACATTAACACGGGTAAAAGATGCAACATGGAAGTAGCCAACTTTCTACATAAACTAACTTCTTAAATAGACTAAGTGTTAACAAGAATGAATGATCGAGGAATTGGAATCGTCACAAACAAGTGCTTTCACAAGGGATACCTAGATGTTGCGCAGTAGAACATGAGATTTACTAGCCATTTTGTGTTTGAATTTTCTGTTTGTGGTGTGAGTTCTGTGCTCCTCCACTTTGTATGAGTGTGTGTACACGTGTATGTCCAAGATATTTGTGAGTGTTAATATCTGCCTATGTTCATGTTCACGGTGCATGTATGTCATTGCAAATACTAGGACAAATTGATTGTATAGTCATTATAAACATTTTGTAAACGTATTCTATATCAAAAATACCGAAGTAATGATCATATACCATCAGCTCTTTTGACCACGGGCCGATCGGCAAGTTATCAACCCCACTGAAGAATTCCCCGAAAGCCTCTCGGTACCTGTTTGGAATCAGGCTTGCTTCCACCACATCCTCCCGGTCCAGTTGCATCTCGTTTTGCCCCTACATTGACAATAGAAGTTAAATGTAAAAAGGCGAAAACAATGAGACAAAATTATTATATTAACCTCTCACCACTTCTCTATCCCTCGCAGCGATTGCAACTTGCTTTCTAACTTGCATCATAAGCTTTAGTTCATCTAGCCTTTTGAGTGCACGTGGATGATACTTCAAAGCATTTGTCTTTGATATGATTGAGTCTGGAGGCAATGGTAGATCAGGGATGTCAGGGGTCCACGAACGCAACTCAGCCCCCGGCGTATGATGCGAAGACGATGGTGTCCAAGAACCCTCTACAATGATTAAAGAAGATAATCAATACGAGAAAATTGAAGGATCATTATATTGAGATACAAAGTAAAAATGAATATATTGCGACACCATTACCTATAGTGTGGGAGGGCTCTGCATATGAATCAGTGGCTCCGGGTGAAGAATAATCGATGCCTACCAAATTATCTATGCAAATAAAATTTAATATTGCTAACATACAATAGATTTTAAATACAAAAGTTGGACTTTAAATATGATTGGATAAATATTACAAACACATATATGATTAATACCTATATGAGGCGAGAATGCTAGAGTTGTGTCCCGAAGATGACCCGATAATTCCACATCATCTACCCATATAAAAAGAACTTAGCCTAAATGATGTTTCACATGTCTACTTTGAGTTGTACAAAGATAATTGAAATTCATACCTATATTCGTATATGATGAAATGTGTGCCTCCTGAAGCTGTTCTGAGCCTAGGCTCGTAGATCGTGACCGGTCACGCGATCGATCAAATAACCTCGAGTTCTTCATCTGTAAAATTGGATTAGAAGAATTAAAGAAGAAATATCTGCCTACTAATTCACAAGATTAACATCTATTGCAATTAAACATTTAAATAACATCCGCGCCTAAAATGACATACAGAATATACCTTCTACAACTTGCTATTTTCGTATTGAACGAGGTATTGCTTGTATTGTTCGGGCTATATTTAACGTTGTTTGCTTTCGTCTACTAGTAGTTGATTCTAGTTGCACATCTGCCTCTGGTTCTCTGTCCCTGACTAAAATTGGGTTGTCAGCCTAAATCTCCGCATCTGTCATATCAAGCATGACATTCTGAGGGTAAGAGAAATTCTGCCAAATTTCATTAGAAGAACCAATTGGTTCATTGTCCTCATCACTATCAGCGTTATTATTAGGGAGGACAATAGATCTTGGCTCCTTGTATAGCCCGACCCAATCGGTGGCAACCTTTGGGTCTTTCACATAGAAGCACTGGTCCGCCTATTCTGCGAATATGAACTTCTCATCTAGATATATCTCTTTGTCGAGGTTTACAAGTGTAAACCCATAATGATCCTTGTGCGGTTTGGCAGGACTCCATCAAACCTTAAACATGCAATAATTACGCTGACTTTTTTTACCATAGCCGTAAATTATCTCAACAATATCTTCCAACTGGCCATAATATAAGATGTCAGCTTCAACTGAGTTTTGATCTCTTACGCTAGAAAAACATTCCTGAACAAAATAGCCCATGACCCCACTATTTTGTGTTACCCTCTTATCATCGGTTGCCACTGTTTTAAACTTATACCCATTAATGATGTGTTCACTATATCGTCTCACTTCAAAGTAAGGACATTGTGCGTGAACTAAATTATCTTCAGAGATTATGACACCAGCAAGAACGTCTTTATCAACCTAATTCAAGCATTAATTGAATAAAATGATCTCCGAGTTTGCTTAAAAATTTAAAAATAAAAAATACAATACTACTTCTACGCTACTTACATCGGTTCTGAACCAATCGGGAAAATCTTTGATGTGTTTTTTTATATATAATGTGCTGCATTCCTGATATTTTATTGTTAAGCTTCTCCAAATATCGCCTATTTATACAACAATGAGATTGTATTGGTACAATGAAAGTAAACAATTCACGTGTCATCCTATTCCTTAATTAATGTACATTACCTTCGATAATCACTGAAAATGTCAAGATTATTCAATACATATGCATGAACCTGCTCCAAGTCAGATCTTGGATATTTTACGAGTTTCTTCTCCTTAGTTGGGGGCTGATCAGCTTTTACGCGATTGCACATGTAACATGATGCAAACGTATGACATTCGTTGGTCACGTAACCTTCAGCCATAGAACCCTCTGGATGAGCTCGATTGCGAACTAGGCGCTTCATAAACCCCAAATATCTACAATAATTAAAATTTTATGAACTACAAAAATCTAAACTAAGGAAAACCACAGAAAGGACAAATATTAGTTGTATATATTGCATATGAAATTAATGCACTGGGTGAAGTCCCTTACCTCTCAATTGGGTACATCCAACGGTAAGATACAGGACCCGCAATGATTGCCTCGCTGGCTAGATGTTGAGTAACATGGACCATGACCGTGAAAAAGAAAGGAGGAAATATTAACTCCAGGTTGCATAAAATTAATGATACTTCTGTTTCAAGCTTTTTAAATTCCTTCACATCTATAACTTTCGAGCACAATTTTCTGAAGAACCCACAATACTCCATAATAATTTTTGATGCTTCTTTCTCCATATTATTACGCAATGCAACCGGGAGAAATTGATGTAGAAGAACGTGATAATCATGGATCTTTAGGCCTAAGAGCTTCCTCTCCTGCACCTGGACATTATTTGATATATTAATTGAATACCCATCCAGTGATTTTACTGATTCGAGGACCTCACAAAATCTCTACATCTGCTCTGTCGACATCGTAACACGAGAGGAAGGCTTATGTTTTTTCTTAAGTCCAACATCTTCTGCTTGCAAATCTTCCCGAATATTCAATGCAGCTAAGTCTTGACGAGCCCTTAGGTCATCCTTTGACTTATTAGGATCTTGAAGGAGAGTTGAAACTATGTTGTCACAAACATTTTTCTCAATATGCATGACATCCAAGTTATGCCTGATTTTAAGGTTTTGCCAGTATGGCAGCTGGAAGAAGATACTGAATTTACTCCATCCCTTTGGTAATTTATTGACTCCATTATCAACATGTGCCCGTTGGAATGCTCTCTTCCTCTTCAGTGCCTTTTTCTTTTTGCCGGAGCCTCTAACTTTGAGTGAGTCGTACTTAGAATATCAGTTCTTACCAAATCTCTTTTTCTTTTTGCCGGAGCCTCTAACTTTGAGTGAGTCGTACTTAGAATATCAGTTCTTACCAAATCTAATTTTAGGAAGATGCTCAAGCAACTTTACAATATCAGCACTAGTCATTTGACATGGTTTATTCCTAGTCTCAACAGTGCCGTCAAACTTATTGCTCAGTTTTCTGTATTTGTAGCCCGAGGGCAACCATCTCCTGTTGAACCAATAACAACACTTTCAACTATATGGTAAGTGAAGGCCTTCAAATTCTGGGCCACATACTGGACAAGCAAACTTGCCTTTTGTAGACAAATCAGAAAGATTAGCATAAGCTGGAAAATCATTAATTGTCCACATTAGGATAGCACGAAGTCTAAACGACTCTTTAGCATGGGCATCATATATCAAAATACCCTCCGACCATAACTGTTTTAGCTCATCAATTAAGGGCTCTAAGTAGACATCAATATCATTACCCGGTGCATGCTTACCTGATATCAGTAATGAGAGTATCATATACGGTTGTTTCATACAAAGCAGTGGGGGTAAATTATATGGCATTAAGACATCTAGCCATGTAGACCAACCTGAACTCATAACCCCGAATGGATTGAATCTGTCGCTAGAAAGCCCAAGTCTAACATTTCTGCATTCATGAGCGAAATTGGGAAAAGTCTTATCAATATGCTTCCAAGCCTCTGCATCAGCTGGATGTCTCAGCTCACCATCTTCTATACGGTCTTCTTTGTGCCACCTCATGTTCTTAGCGGTGTCTTTGTTCATATACAAACGTTGCAATCTGGAAACTAACGGGAAATGACGAAGCACCTTAGCTGGAATCATGCTCTGCTGGTACATTGACTTTGTTGGCTGCCTTGTTGAAGAGCGGGTTTGTTGTTTCCATCGAGAAACCGACATGTTGGACATTCCTGAAGGTCTTTATTATCGTTGTAGTAGAGAATACAATCATTGGGACACGCATCAATCTTATTGTAATCAAGCCCCAAATCGGAAACTATTTTTTTTGCCGCATAAGTTGTTTTAGGAATGCTACGCTCTCCTCCTGGAACTACCTTCCGTAGCAAATCAAGAAGCATTTTGAAATAAGTATTTGTCATTCCACTGAGGCTATTAATATGTAAGAGCTCCAACATAAATGAAAATCTGGAGTACTCGGTGCAACCCTCATACAAATCCTTTTCACTATCCTCTAGTAGTTTCATTATACGATCCAAGTCCTCAGGAGCATGAGCGTCTTGGACATCAACTATGATATCATTTTCATTGTCATTGTTAATATCGTATTCGGTATGGTCAGGTCCGATATCAGTTTGTAAATTTACTTCTGTATCATCTATCCTGACACCATGACTGGTATCGACATGCACATCCGGGACTTCATCTTCGGTACGGCCTTCCCCGTGATAGGACCAATATTTATATTCCTCATAAAAACCAGGGTTTGCTAAGTGACTTCGTATTTCATCTTTATTTTTCAGCTTCATATTCTTACACCTATAACAGGGGCAGTCCATTGCACCGCTACTTAAATTTTTTAGGTTCATTTCGGCATACTTCATGAAGGCTTCACATCCATCCCTATAACGTTGATCACGAAACCATTCACTCCTAGGGATATCTATCCATGACTTGTTAGGAATTTTCCTCATTTGTAGGTAATATATATTTAGAAACTCTATTTGAGAATAGATAGTATACCCAAAAATTTTAAACTATTCAAAACATACGTTGTTGCATTTAAGTATCGGCATTAAGGTATGTTTGAAACTTATTAAGATATGGAGACTAATTAGCACACTCTAATGGCTGTCATAGGAAGGCTTCTATCCCATTAAGAATATAATAGTGCTTACATCCAACTTCATATACTTTGTATATTTTCATTTCTTAAAAATTTTGGCAGCACATACCCGCTGTTCTCCCTGTACACTGTGCGGATGTTATTATGCACACTGACAACATATCAAAACGTAGAACAACATACGCTTATTGTACACGGAGAACAACAGGTACGGGCTGCCAAAATTTTTAAGAAATAAAATCATACAAAATATACAAAGTTGGATGTATGCACTACTATATTCCTAACCCGTCCGAGAAGGACAGATCCAATAATTATAAATTTCTATACCAATTCATTTCTATTATAATATTAAGTGAATGATAAATTTCGAGTAGGAAAATTTACTTCTTACCCAAATTTGACTCGTTAATCTTATATTATAACCTCAAAGAACTGGCTGTAATTATTGGACGAGAGCCTAGGGTTAACGTTATATTTTTTACCTAAATTGGATATATAACACATTATTATATAATATTGCTTTATATATCACTCTATTTTTTGAAAACTTTTTCTTCCATAACTCACACATTTTCAAATCACAAACCTATATAATCACATTTGTACAATTCAAATCACAAATTGTATGATAAACATGAGAACTTTATAATATATCAAACCAAAATATGAAGAGAGATAGGAGATTAATGGGCATCTGAGATCGAATTTATTAGTTTGAGATATATGCTGATCTGTGATGCGCACGAAGACCGTCTTCGCGTTGCCTACCTTGATGTGTGTTATATAGACTACATACGTAAAGAGATTAGAAAAGAAATCGGCAGATGGGAGCTCGGGTACGCATATGAATTTATTAGTTTGAGATATATGCTGATCTGTGATGCGCAGAAGACCGTCTTCGCGTTACCTACCTTGATGTGTGTTATATACACTACATACGTAAAGAGATTAGAAAAGAAATCGGCAGATGGGAGCTCGCTCATGATTTGAGTCTACACGACCTTTTCAAGAAAGTAACGGCAGAAAGGGCCATCGTGGGAAACGACAGGGGCAAAATAGTAACTCCACAATCAGATAGTTTACGCTCTCATCGCACGGATTTGATCTTTTAATTTCGTTTTTTTCTTTTCTCTCCCACAAAACAGTACGTCTATTTTAATGGGCCATACGAATAGAGGGGGGGGGATATCGACAGCGAGAAAGCAGCATATGGTTGTTGCCGTTCTCTGCGACTGCTCTCTCTCTCTCTCTCTCTCTCTCTCTCTCTCTCTCTCTTTATAAGCTCAGGCTTTGAGCATGAAGAGTGAATACTCAAAGCGTAGATCTTGCACATTCTTCTATTAGCTAGTATTATCCTTAATAATACAAGTTCATACTAAATTAGCAAAATTAAACATAGATTAGAAAAGTAAAAGTATCTGGATGTCGGGGATCACAAAACTAAGGTTTGAAAAAACTAGGGTTTGAGATTACCAGTGCTGTCAATATCTAATCGGGGTCATAAAACTTCAAACGAAGTTCTGAAATTCTGCTAGATCGAAAGCTAACCTCAAAGAGACAGGGTTTTTCGACTGGGGCAACGACGTGACGGCGAGGGGGGAGGCGACGACGGGACGGCGACGATGGGGCTCGGTTGAAGGAGAGGGAGGGTGACGACGGAACGACGGAAAGGCGAGGAGGCGACGATCTCGGATGAGAGAGAGAGAGAGAGAGAGAGAGAAGCGAGCACAATACGGTATGATTTGGGGATTTAGGGGCCAGATCTGGTTCCTTTTTGAAAAAAATATTGAACTCGTCATCCTAGACGGAAATTTCCGTCTAGGATGTATCCTAGATGGAAATTTCCGTCTAGGATGACCAGTCAATTTCAAAAAAAAAATAAAAATAAATCCGTCTGCAATACTATTCTAGACGGAAATTTTCGTCTAGAATATTGTATTGCAGACAAAAAATCCTAGACGGAACCTTTTCGTCTAGAATAGTTTATCCTAGACGAAAAATTTTCCGTCTAGGATATTCCGTCTAGAATATTTACTTTTCTACTAGTGTTTCATTTGAATCAGTATGAAACCGAGCTTGACCTAGGGAAGTATAGTGTTATGAAAGTGAAAACATTTGTAAAAATAATATTATAAAATGAAGATGAATAATAAAGCCAACGAGCCAAGCTGATTGATTTAAAGTGGGCTAAAATGACAGAAAATAGTTAATGAAAAAAATCATAAACTGAAGATTAATGCTAACTCTAATACAATTTTATATGATAAAAGCATTCACACATGCATATGAAAGTACTAAACATAGTTTATGAAAATCTCTTCTAAAGATTCATAATTTTACTAAAAATAATAAACTTATTCTATAACAACTCACAAAACATTATATTTTGTTGCTTCTATTTTATTTTTTATTGAGCCGAGATCAATCCTTCTCCATCTTTATCTTTTTTCCTGGGCAATTCTAGAGCAGTATCTTCATCATCTACATCGATTGTGATATGAGACTGGAGCATGTTATCTTTCCTTTGGTTCATTCATCTTTTGTCTTCTCGTCTAAATTCACAAAGAAGTTGAATATATTTTTTAGGCTCAACACAAACTTCTGACAATACAGACTTTGATTTTTTTCTATTTTAATAAGAATAAATGTTAATTTTATATATATAAATTTTTTTGTACTTTTAATTTATTACTAAATAAGGTTAGGAACTGCCTCTTTTTTCTCTATAATGAATTCTTCTGCTGTGCATCCAATAAAAAATTTTGTTGTGTCATAATGTTACCTTTGCTCTATCTAAGTCATTTTTCATGGGGATCTGAGCAAAATACATTACATTTTTTATTGTCAATTTGTTTTAGATTATAGTATTAATATTTAATTTTGATATATTTATTTCATGAAGAAGGGATATTACTTAACCTTGGTACTATCTCATCGTCGATTCTACAACATTTATCATTTGGACACTTATTATTAACATCTCTATTCACTTTCTTATTGTAGCCTTTGCAAACATATAATCACCGTTCAACTCTATTATAAATGGTAGTTATCATTGCCTTAAAGGTACGATATTATGTCTGTATATTGGTAAATTATTCTTATATTTAATTTTATGAATTTTAGAGTAGGTTTTCTAAGATCATACATCTTTTGAATGTTATAGTGGTTGTATACATTAGTAATTTAAATTTCTGCTGTATTTATAAAGAGCCTTAATGGAGATGCTTTTGTCTTGACATCTTGCTCTAAAAGAGCGCTGCATATTAGCTTTAAAATACAATATTTTTTATGGTTTTATATAGATGTTTTCTTGGTTTACTTACTATTTTTTCATTTCTTCAGTAAGCTATATTTTTAGATTGATATATTATTAACGCAATTTACGATAACATGCATTTATCCTTTATAAATTTGAGACAGATATAAAGTGAATTTTATATTTAGTGGTCTTTAATAAGAATTTTAGTAATGAATTATACTACATTCATATTTAGAGATCTTGAATTCTAATAGTGCTATTACATCATTATCTTTGATTGTGTCTTTAAGAATTGATCCTTCGTTAGTAGTCATACCCCTAAATAAAGTCACACGCAGGGTTGTGATACTATATAAGAAAAAGAAAAAGGGTAATTTTATATTTTTTGCTTACGCAGAGTCATGACATAGTAATTTTTTTTATCTTCTATGAAGAATGTTTCTTTGATCGGAACAAAGTTGTTCAATATATTCTTCAGGGGGTATTCAGTCGGTGTTTCTTTGATAAATATAACTTATGTTAGTGTTAATTAAAGTAATTTATGGACGTTCCGAATTATATTTGAAATAAAATCTGCTTGATTCTTTTAAAGGATATTTCTAAATTTATAATAATTCTCCATATATAAATCTTTATAATTTTTTACCCTATAAATATTATTACCATTAGAGA